CGGTCGGTTTCAATAGCCTGTATTGCGAGTCATTGATGTAAACATGTAGTAAAAGAATCTGCAGTTTCCTCGCCACTTGCTTCTCGACCAAGATGTTGTTTTCTTGTGCCTTGTCTAACTGGAACTTCCTTCTCTCCCCCAAAATAGATTCCATCTTTGCAATGTAGTCAGTTCGGTCCATTATAACAATGCCTGATCCCTTATCCGGCTGCAGAAAGATTACGTGCCCCATTTGTTTTAACTCCTTTATCGCCATATAGTGTTCGGCTTTCAGACAGCATCTCTGGCTTATCGGAGTGTTCATGTATTGGTTCGCAATATCTACCAATTTTGCCCGGAACCAACCCGCATCTTCCATTGACCTTGGAGCATGGTCACTGAGCTGTTCATTCAGATACTCAAACTGAGCCTGCGTGTTGAGCTTATCTATAGCTTTTGGAGGCAATCGGTACTTCAGTCCAAGTGAGAGAACTTCCAATTGTGTGCGCGTGAACTGTACAGATGACAGATTGTATACATGCTTTGAGCACTCAGTAGGGAAGGCAACGTTTGGGGCTTTTGCAAAGGAACCCTGCAGATTGCGGACTGTTTTCGTTCTTGTGCGACGGATAATATGTGTGCAGAAAAGGCCGTGGTCTTGATTTTGACATTTTGGTTGGTGTGCCAACTTATGTCTTCTCACTGCTCGGACGAAATGGTTGAAGGGGACCCACTGTTTTACTTTTACATTCAATTAGATTACCTTGGTCTTGATTTTGACATTTTGATTGGTGTGCCAACTTTTCCCCCTGTATATAACTGTCCATGAATCCCGCTTGTATTGTGTTTGCGACTGAAGAGAACAATCGAAATGTTAACATATCGCAACTTATGTCTTCCCACTGCTCTGACGAAGTTCTAACACTTTTATTCCACTGTATATCAGATGGAAAAAGCACAAGCAGATACTTGGAGAAGTTTCGCACCGGTGATTCACTGCATGGAAACTATGGAATAATTCTTAAATCTGTATGTTCAATTAAGCTCCTAAAAAGCTTGCTTGACAATGCCAGACAGATAAATAAAGCAATCCAAAACTCCCAAATGCCAGTCTAAACATGATCTGTTGGTTAGGAAGGGAGTTAGGCTGGACAATTTATTGACATTTTAAACGCAAATTATCAAAGGTATTCACCAGTTTCCTCACTATATCTATTCAAGTCAAGTCCGGATAAGCTTCATTTACCAGAATGGGTGTTTTCAGTACTTTACAGTATGAACTGCGGATGAAGTGGCCAGACATCATCAAAAGTGCGAAATTTTACAAATGGATAAAAGAATAGGGAAAAGGGTGCAATGATATCGCTCGAGTAAAAGGACCTACAGTTTTGTGTTCAAATTTATAGACAGTACGCTTGGGTTTTTATTCATCCGTAAGGGTGGAGTTTTGTGAAGATATTTTTAATAATTGTTTTCAAATGACACAAAAGTTCATGAGCAAAAGTAACAGGTCGCTAATAGTGCTCGGTGTCGCGAATTAATATTTAAAATAGGAAGAGCACGACGGCCTTGGTGAACTTGAAAATACTTTGGACAAAAACGTTAGCCAAAATTTTCTTAAATAATTATATTTGAGGAGTAGATTAAGTAAACAGTAATTTTCAGCAAAAGGCAATTGTAAATTTTAAACTGCGATAAGCGTCCGGTATAAAAGTGTGTTTTTAAAACCATCTTACCATTGCCACACGAACATAGAAGCCTGTTGAAAATAACAGTCGACAACTTAGGTTAGGAATTTGTTACGTTCTGGAGAATATACCCGTCACCAGAAAATTATAATTTAACCTGCTTGTTGTTTGGAACGACAGATACATTTTTTCTTGCTATTAAGAAAATTCCATTTGCTTCCCTTTTTATGGTTTCATTTATAATTGATAAACTTGTTTCCACTAAAAACGCTATAGCATTTTTGATACCCATAAAAAGATGTGAAACTTGTTTTCCCTTTCGCTCCCGTTACTTATTCGAAAGGAATACAGGATTGGTTAATTTCAAGAAAACACATATCCGTTTTCCACTGACTTCAATTTTAGCAATTAAGCACTTCAGCTCATTGTTATTATTATCTGTTAAGGAAAGCAACTCATTTCACAGTAACTGTTACTGCACTCATTCATTCAACAGCAAAATTATCATAGTTTTTGAAACATTTTTGTCCAACTTAACTTCGTAGTACAAAATGTGACCAAATATTGCAGCCGCTAATACAAAATTTTGCTTTTCGTTCCATCCCAGTGTATCTTTAGCAATGTTTATGTGGTAAGAGAACAGAATTGACTGACGTTCTAAGCTTTCGCAGATAGCTACGTTTGTACCCAATGCATATTTGAAGGTAAATTGTTCCATCAGATCCATCAACAAGCATTAGATGCTATTTTTTCATTGATTCGCTTGCGTTACTTGAAAGCTGGAGATAAATACCGTTAATGCAGTGCAAACACATTTCAACACTAGATAAGAACTGTGTTATCAAATAAGTAACGTGCTACAGGCAGCGCAAGAATACGGTGCAGACATATTTCATTTGGTTTGTGGGTGTAAAATAACAAAGGTTGAACGGAAAAACAAATGAACGTGCACCAAGAGCTACCAACTATTCAGCTAAGTTCGAAATAAACATCTATCGCGTGAAGGTTGGGTTCAATTACATGAAAGGATTCATCTTAATGCCCATTGCTTGGTATCCTCTTCATTGTTGCTCTAAGTGGCACTAAAAAGCGAACACGCTAATTACTCCGTCCATCCAGACAACGACAATATCCTAGCCACCTGAGCAAGCAACTGGGCGTGTCACGTAATTTCATCTGCCAAATACAATGTTGATCAAGTTATTCGAAGTTTTGAATTAAAGACAGACGAACAGCACAGTTCTTAGTAAATAGAATATAAGCCTAACTACCAGGTCGGACAATCCCTTCGATGACTCAAGTACAATGATTAGAAGTTAAGTAAAATCAGGCTCACACAGATAAGAGAGGATTCTCCTTGTGTAAACCAATGCTGACTATCCAGTCGCTTTTCAGATTAAACGATCCAAGTTTACCCGCGAGTCGTGTCCCCGCACGCGCTGTGATACAGCTGAACACTGGTGTATCGGAGCGGAAAATACTGTTCGAACCTGTGTGTCAATTTGATCCGCTCAAACACAGAACAGATATATTGTCACCTTCAAGTTGCATACTAGCATTCTGTGAATATGCCGGAGATTTTGCCAAACACAGTGCTTATTTCGCAGCTACATAAAGGCAGCTGTCACGTTCGCATTAATTTGACTACTTCAAGCAGCTGTACGTATGTTGTTGCTGATGCAACTGCAACTGCTGCAACTGCAATGGTTCTGCCCTCTTGTGCTTCGGTGGCAAATGTTTAACAATTGGCGGGTGACCTTGCGACAGCACCTGAATTCGAAAGGTGCAATCCATATACTGGGTGGGAAGACTATTTTGGGGAAGTATTCAAGATATTTTACTCAACCGTTCGAACATCAAAATTAAGAAGCTGTAGGCTAAGCAATCCATATCAGTCCGTTTAATCAGCGTGCGAAGTAATTTGCATCTTGGTCACTGAATGAAAACGAAGAGATCGGATAAATCTAGAATTTTATTTACTGCAGGTACTTTTGACACTTACCTAAAAATCTTTCCCCGCTTGTCATTTTAAAGCTTAAAAGGTATGCATTATTAACGCATCTAATGTGCCAGTTGAAGACCTAATGAAATATATGGATTAAAGTCAAATAGATGCATCTCTTAAATCCTCAATTTGCATAAACAGTATCAACTGATATTGTTCCACATGAACATATTACACTATAAATGAAATATATATATGTGATCATTTGTTTATCCAAAAGGCAGAGCCACAGCATATTGCAATATGGAACCCGTTGCTTGCATTGAATTGTTCGAATGTTCCAACCACTTAACTCTTATCTCCGACCATAAGAATTAGTTCCTGACCCATTTTTAGACAGCTACACGATTGTTGCTGTCTATTGCACCCTTGTTCTATTGTGTCTAGGTGCATTAAAAAGTGAGCAGTAGCAAGTTGATTTATGGAGTTTCCTATCCCGGATTAGTGACAATTTTAATGCATGGACCGCACTAAAATTTAGATTCTGGCTAACATCAGTCGAGAAAATTGCCTCTGTTCTATCATGGTCTGACACTGTATTTTAATGCTCATTCCCATCATAGTACATGTTGATAGTTAGAGAACAGACTGCTTCCATCTTGTTGATATCCTTTAATACCTTATAGCAGGGATAATTTGTTCGTTAGACAAGGGCAAACATTGGTAGACTTGAATTCACCTGACTTTAATGGATAGGATTAAATGACAAACCACATGTTCATCCACTATATCTAGGAAGGAATCTAGTTGCTCGCTGTTAGTTATCGGTGGTAACAAATCCACCATTTATAATCTGGCAGCGTCTTTTATAGGGTGCACCCACGGTCAAAAGTTTCCTCAGCGGCATGAAGGCTTCCATATTTTATTCCATATTTTTATGCCTCTTTAAAAATGTGCAGCCGCACTTAATACGCTGTGCTAACAGACTTCTAAAATAGTATAGTTTATTCGTTTCTGTCATTTTAGCATTCACGTTTACACTTCATCCAATCTATCAAACAAGCCAATGCCTCAGGCTAACCCAAATTTCAACCAAGAAGCATAATTGAATTTGTTTGAATATTGACAAACAAATCGCTTTCCTGAGCTACATTCCGCATATTTTCATTATTATATTACGATCCGAACTACCGCTTTCTAAAGCACCCTTGTAATTAACTAACGTTACTTGCTATTTTTTCAAATTTATGTACATCTTAGCTATGGTTGTGAGGTGATACTAGAATTTTCATTCACACAACTTTTACGATTGTAAGGGTCGCTGAATACTTTTTAACTAAATGGCAGTGTGTTCGATTGTGTTGTAAATGGCAAACGATTTAACTCACTTTTAAAACCATTACCAAGTGTACCAACTCTGAGGATTCGATATTCAAGCGGGTAACAATAGGGCTTCCACCAACTGCATGATCGGATGATTCTCGTCGCCTGAGTGAGACCAAACTCCAAAATATGCGCGGGGCAACTCGACCGGCTGAACCGACGGGTGGCCGAGTTACTCGAAATAGTAGTTTGTACACTTCAGTCGCTGGACTGCGTCCGAAAAGAGAGGAAAAACCATGTTGAATCCATTATGTTTCCTGACATGCCAAATAAATTTGGGGCTGTGTGAGGGAATATATTTTTGCCCACAGTTTACAATATGTTATATAAGGAAGGTAAATCAATGCATGCATTGATAGTACAACAGGATTGCTTTCGGCTGCATTTTACTACATAAATCCTGCTTTAAGATGGATTATATAGTAGCAAAGTATAAGAATAATTTACGTCAATAAGTTTATGTTGCACAATTGCATCATTAGCAAAATTTCTATGTAATACACTGGTTGTCGAACGTTCCAAGGTACATTAAGGTTGTATTGCCGCCCAGTAAACCACTGAAAGGGTCAACGCGGTTATTAATCATAAAGTAATCCTTGCAAGTTTGAATGATTTTATGCAGTGCGGATCAATATTTTCCAACGTGCACTACCTTGCAAACGAGGCCACTACGTTTGGTATCGCAAGGTCCGCAACCATTTTACTAAGCTCTGTGATACAATCATCACATGGAGTGTGCTGATTCATGGAAGCGTTGCCTAGATCTTGACAACTACAATGTTTGTGTATAAACGAAAAACATATACCCAGGTCCCTGTAAGCATACTTTTCAGCCAAAACAATTTCACAATGGGTACACGGTGGTTAAAAAACGTTGTTTACAACAGATTTAGAAGATACTCTTTTCTGCTTCAGACGCTCTAATCAGCAACAATTAAATGTCATCCAGACGAACAAAACAAACTTTCTACCCCTAGACATTTAGATTATCAGTTGGAATATGCGCATGTAATGCCACTGCACGTGCACATTGGGCTGCTGCTTAGCTGTTGTAAAATTGTTGCATACGTCGGATATATTTTGTGATGTCTCCATGGTACACAAACTAATCAAATAAATTTGTGAATAAACCTTAGAAGCAAACAAACAATTCCCAGCAAAAAATTACTCTAATCTATATTTGTGTTAAAGCTTTGCACAGAAACGGTATAGTGCGTCGATCGTGCGCTGTACGTCAGGTTTGTGGATAAACGACCAACCGAGTGCGCACAGGAGAACACACGAAAATAAGCTAGCCAAGTTATTGGGCGGACTCTGAAGTGACGAAAGCTAAAAATAGGGCACCAGAGTAGAGCTAGCTAGGGAGAATATGGAAGTGCGTCGAGTACGAGGACGAGTACCCAGTCGGTAGTTCGTCGCCGATTGGTCACAAAGCGCTGGCTCGTGTGTTGTGTGTGTGACAATGAAATGGGAGAAAAATACAAACAAGCGAACTATCTAATTCTCTAATACGTAGGAAACCTATAGTGTTGGAATATTTTAGAACAAGTTACACATACAAACGAAGTAATCTCCAGGTCACTACAACGGTTATTAATGCTACCTAAGGCTGTTTTGTAGTGCCTGAACTCTGAAAACAAACTATATCAACCGGTTGTTTTCAAAACTTTCTAAATGCTTGAGTTATTGATCAGTTTCAAGTATTTTCCAAGACCTTGAATTAGTTGCTATTTGTAACATTGTATTAGAAACAAGCGTCTATCATCTGCCATATTTGTTTCAACATATGGTTAAACGTATTTAGATCAAAGGGAATGCAGTATTTGCTGTAAGTAAATTATTGTTCTTTTTAACAACACCAGTTATGTGACTATGGAAGCTAGTTGCACATAATCTGTCTAAACTCTACCGTGCTGTCTATCAATTCCAGCCATTTATAGTCTATACTTAGTCCAGAAACTATGTACAAATGAGAAATACCACGTAACTGGTTAATATTCTCACTAAATCTAATCGTGAGAGACCGCATGATATGCTGACATGGATATGTAGGTTACAACAGGATTCGTTGCTACGGGAGAATCTTGCTTAATTGGATATTCTGTCAAAAGTTGCATATCATGCTTGGGTCCTGCAAACATTAATGTAACCTAGATTGCTTACCAGTACTTTGGCTTTGTGAAACGGGCGACATAGTTTTAGTTAATTCACGTTTTTGTGGGAGCTAACATAAACAAACAAAATTCCATAATTTCATTATTCATGCATTTACCACCAGCGTCAAATACGCGCAATTAACAAGACGAAAAAATGAAGAACCTAAAGCCCTACAGACAAGCTGCAAAGATAGGGACCTTGTCAAAATACTGCATCGTAGAACCAGTGAACGTTCTCCTCTAATTACCGAAACTGTCGATGTGAGGGTCAATTACGCCATGACCCAGGTGAAATCTGTGAAGCATTCAGCGACTTTTTTGCTACTACCACGAGTCGCGAAACTGTCCCGGTGCCTGTGTGCACAGAGCTCACCGAAACAAACCTCTTAAGCAGATTCGATATCTTGCTCAACGCTATCCATCAAGTTATCAAATTAATCAGGCCATCTTCCAAGCTGGGATCCGATGGCATTTCACCAACCACCAATAAACTAGGAGTACCTGATATACCATTGCTACTGATGAGCATGTTTGCTATATCCTTGGATTCTGGCCATTTGTAGACCAATGGAAAACGTCATTTATTATGCCTCGGCATACAGGAGGTCCCAAACAAACGATTGATAACTACCGACCAATCCACCACACTCCGATAATCGCTCGCTTATTTGAAAAGCTGGTCAGAATGGAGATAAGGAACGTTGTTGATTCTGTTGACCTGATCAACAATTCGCGTCATGCTTTTCTCAATAAGCGATCGTGCAACACCTATCAACAGCATTAGCTTAATCACATTTCAGAATCAATCGATTCCGGCAATGCAATAGTAATTTTGTTTCTTGACATACATTAAGCGTCCGACCGAGTGCCGCACAAGTAACTGTTACAAAAGTTGAAGAACTTTGGGATCCGGGACCCATTACTAGGTTGGCTATGGTCATACCTGAGTGATCGTCATCAGGTAGTAACTTTAGGAGATTATCGCTCTTCTCCACGCTCGATCACCAATGAAGTCATTCAAGGGAGCGTGCTTGGCACCTTAATCTTTTTGCTTTACATCAATGCCATCACCACATCTGTAAAAGACGCTACATAATTTTTATTTGCTGACGATACCAAACCTGTCTATAAGTTTCGGCGTGATGAGCTTCACGGGACAATACTGCTTATTCAAGATAATTTACATTCCCTTGAGTCTTGGTGCTGCACATGGATGATGAAACCCTCGGCTAAGAAATCAAGCATCATCTCTTACGGCTGCTGCATCCCAGAATGATCCATCACCCGAAACAATGAACGCGTCCCTACACAGTTGTCCACGCGAGATCTTGGAATTAGGTACTCGTCTACCCACAATTTCTCCGAACAGGCCCAATACCAAGTAGCACGTGCCAGACAGTTTATGTACAATGTTTCAAGCAAATACACAAAACTCCTGCTAGAGTTGAGCTTTTCAAGCTACTCACTCGCCCCATACTCAAATACTGCAACATACTATGTAGGCAATATAAGAATGAGTGACAGAATTGCTGTGGATCAACTGCAGAGGTCATTTACTAAACATCTGATTGGTAAACACTGCTATGAGTTATCGAGAAGGTTGCAATGTACTTCATCTAGAGTCACTTTGGATTTGACGATTGAAGCACAACTTGTTGCTGCTTTTCAACATGTTTCACAAGAGGACCTATTCCGACCTGCCTACACTCAATTTACAACATTGCTCAACTCGAGCGCTTTGCAACAATTATTTTACATTGAATATACCGAAGGCAAAAACGAACGTTAGCTCTAATTTCTTTCTGATCAGATATAGCTATCTAAGGAATAAACTATCAATAACACTCAGGTCATGTGACAATGTGGAAACATTTAGTAACTGACTCGCCAATTACCTTGAGCTAGCAACCCTAAGCTTTATATTTATATGGGAAAAATCCCTTGATGAGCTATTCCAAGCGGGGCCTAAAAACATATAAACACCAATGTTTTCAAAAGTAGGCTTTGGCCTCAACCATCCGGTAGAATGTTAATACATGAAATGTATATCCCAATACTCCAACTATGCATGTCAGCCATGCCAGAGCATGTATTCTTCTGTACAAATTGATCTGTGCCGCTATAGACACAGCTTCTCTCATCAAGAGAAATATACGTATTATTATCAATATTATTACATTTCCCTGCAGTGTAGTTCGACTAAATAGTTCCAATACTTTTGCTGATCAGGAAATCCAGATAAGTTAAATCTGAGGGTGTACATTATGTTTGATTTAAAAGGGATTATTAATTTCTCACAGATAGGTAGTTTCTAATGTAATCCAAGTATTTTCAGTGTTATCAGTTTAGCTTCCATAACAAGATAAATGACTAGCATAAAGTGGCATTGTATTTGCTAGCGAATAGAGATTACAGGTTGGAAGCAGCTAGAAGAGAAATCTCTGTGCAGCTGCATCTAATCTCATTTAGGTACAAAGCAAGTTATGTACGAATTCGCTTAATATCTTTACATCGGCAAAGTGTTGGTTCAGGAATTTCTTGAATTCCGACACCAACTTCGCCTCAACTACGTGGTGCGGAAGGTGGTTATATACCTCAACAGTCGGTTTGAAAGAGCGTTAGTGGGCGACTGGCTTCAAATCAGGCACTAGAACCTTGTTCCGTTGTCTTCCTGTGCTGCTTGGTGTGCGAAAATGCAGCAACGGCCTCAACATTGGGTAATCATCGAGATGTACTATCCTGTGCGTCTTGGTGATGTCAACCAGCACTGGAGGATAAAATAAGGTGTAATCCCCAGCCTCTGGTGCCGCAAGTGGGCATTGGTTATGACTTGTTGGAAACCACCTACCGCGTCTGCTACCTTGGGAGTGTGGCATCTACTGACCAGAAGCTAAACAGCAAGCTTCATATCTGCGTCTCGAAGACAGCGGCGGTATTCTGGAGGCTTGAGTACCGAGTTTGGAACATCCATCAGCTTACCGTTTGCACAAAGCTCATGGTGTACAAATCTATGGTACTATCGGTTCTCCTATACGGCAGCGAAACGTGGACGACGTACTGGCGGGATGTGCGATATCTCGAGCAATTCCATCAACAGTGCTTGCGACGGATTCTGCACATCAGTTGGTGCGACAGAGTTTTGGACCCGGAAGTGTTGCGTCGAAGTGGAATGCATGCAGTGGACTGCATACTTTTGCTGAGACACCTGAGGTGGCTCGGTCATGTTAGCCGTGTGGATTCGACGCGGATACCGAAGCAGCTATTACATGGTCAGCTGAGTTTGGGGAATGGGCATGTGGGGAAACCGAAGTTTTGTTACCAGGATATGATCAAATTGAACCTCTTACTTTCTAATGTTGACTCCAGGTCATGGGAATCGAAGGCGGTTGATCGGCTTGCATGGCGTGATCTGAACACGAAGATCACTGCCGAGGTGAAAGAGCAAGCCCTCGTGCATGCAAAGAAGAAGAAGCAGAAATTGCGGTGGGGACAGACGTCGATGGATTGTACTCCATCGACATCGAGCGCATGGTGCTCTAACAGTTGAAGTCGCGAGTGCATGAGTCAGGCAGGCCTAGTGAGTCATGAGCGAGGTCACTCGGGGTCAACAGCGAAAAGACGTCGAGTCCTGCAGGAAACGTAGGTACAACCGGCGAAGTGTTTATCGGTACGCTGCATTAGAGTTACTAGCCGCGTGCTTGCATGCTGAGTCTCATTATTTCAGGTGGTAAGTATGCTTTGTTATCCTAATGCTTTTTTATCTCATCTTAATGTCTACCTGGATTATCTTTCATAAACTTGCACACGTCCCTTAAAATACTTTAGATAACTTCGATACCATGTTCGCGTTCGTGGCATTTACTTAAAATATGTTTTCTGACCTCTCGTACTTTTCGCGGATTTCTTCTTAACCAACTTATCTCAAATGCACATTTAGTGTAGAGTTATGTCTCCATAGCTGCATGCATTTTTGGATTCATTTTATTTGATCTTGTCGTTTCAAGTGATTGGCTGTTGCTTGGTATCCCCGGTGTGGCTGCGCTTGATGTGCATGTTGATAAGGTGCCTACCTCTCTATTATCCACCACGTCGTCCATACTGGCTCCAAGAGACATTTGGTCGTAAATGGAACGGAAGGGGTGCACGGTCCTTGCGGCCGTGCTACGCTCGAAGAGTGGTTCTGTGCATTCCGTGTGGAGCGGACAACGGTCCAGGCACCGCGTTGTGTGCCTGATTCCTCACATACAGCGTTCTTGTGTTTGCCTGGGAAGGAGTGTGGGCCGGCTTCACTGATGAAACGTGGATCCCATCCACATGCTTCCCGGTCTTATTTCTTCGGGTTTACATTGGATATGGGGTGTATGGTTGGAGCTGTGGGTGCTGCAGTCCAAGCCACCCATGATCCCTCTGTAGGCGCAGGTATCCTGTGCCTGGCCACAATGACAGTCAAATCGGAAACCGCATGCAACCAACCATGTCCTAGTCTCTTACACTGGTCTACGTACGGCACACCTCGTAAACTGAGGATCAGCTTGGTAGCCGCATGCTGTATCCGCTCGCTCCTTTGTAAATTGCGCCAGGTGACATGACAGTATGCGGGTGAGCCGTACTCTAACAGTGGTCGTAGTATTGGGGCGAAGGGGCGTCTGGCCGTCTTATGGGATCAAGCGCTGAAGCTGCATTTGAGCGCCAAAAGCAAACGATAGCCGTCTCGGTATAGCCTACTCGTGTTGTCCATGGGCATACAGTTGCAGTGTCAGAGTACACAGCGTTCCCTCAGGAAACGCGCATGATGTAGCGGTTGATCGCCCACAGTGTACCTTCGACTGTGCTCACACTTACCGACCCTCCTGAAATGAGACCTGGCGTCGTTTCTCGGATTTTTGACTTCTGCAGACCACATAGAGGGGCTGTCAAGTTCCCGTTAAAAAGTTCACAGTCATTGGGTGCACGTCTTATTCTCCACAACAAATCATCGAAAACAATGCGCAAAGCGAACAGAGAAGCTGAGGCACATCCTTTTTATGCATCAAAACAGTATGTACCCCGCTATAGTGCCTTGAAGCAATCCACTGCTTGAGGTATGCCAGTCAGTCAGACGGTTGTTGAACTGGTCTCTCCACTTTCAACCAACAAGGAACTTCCTGATTCGTCGGTGCAGCCAGCCACTAATACAGCACACCCTCAGACTGTGGAAGAGCACCCTATGCTTCACCTTACCAAAAGCCATACTGAAGTCGATGTAGATGACTTCGACCTACTTGCCCTTGTTCAGCACTTGCAGTCCTTCATGCCTAGTTAACAGTACGTTAGTGATGCATTCGCGACCTTTCACGAAACCATGTAGTAGGTGCCTCAAGCGACTTTTCGACTCGAGAAGCCGCAAAAGTCCCTTATTCATCACCTTCGCAAGCTTGTTTGCTAAAAGACCAGTCAAGCAGATCCGCAGGTAGTTAATTGTCCACGTTGATTAGGTCACCACCATATTTAAAACCACGTATTACTAAACCAGTGGAATAACACATCACAGTGTTCTGTTTCTCGAAAGGCGATTAAAAATAACATGTATTTGATAAGATGTACGTTTGCAAATAACGATATACCATTTTATCTCCGAAAACGCCCAAAACAAACAGTGGCGTTTATTGCATTCTGGCTTAAATGCAGTAGGAATCTATAAGCGGTAAAATCGGAATTGGTTGAATTATGATGATTTTTAGGTGTTCCATAAACTGAGCTAACGTTATTATTTAAATATTGCACATTTTTTATAGACCGGTAATCATACAGATAAACAAAACACCGCTTCCATCATTTTCCTCACCTGTTTTTCAACGTCTGCACATTATTGACCAAGTCTTCGCGAAAGCGAGCGACGATTTCCGTTACATTTCGCCGTTGACTGATTACACTGCGATGAAAAATATCCCAAACGCTCTGAGGGTCTTCAACTGAACTGGATGAAGAGCTGTCAAATGAATAGACTGGAGTCTGAGCTCCTGAATATTTGGTTGTCGCTATTCCACCGGGCCAAATGACACGTACAAACTCCACATAGCTGTTGGCTGGGATCTCAAATCTGTGGATTGATGATAATATTATAAGTAAATAAAGGGAATCAAGTTGAGTCAGCAAGATGGATATTCCGTAACCAGCTATTTGCTGAATTTATGCCTGTACTTCCTTGATGAAGATATTACAACGCAACTAAATGAATATCACTGGACCTTCACCTTCCATTAAGTTATAATGCTGTGACAGTTTCTCTTCTCGGAACGCCTTTAGTCTTTACATTTTGCCACTGCATTTGTTACATTGCATTTGTCGCCGTGAATGTGCAAGAAGCAACGATGAGGAAATGCTAGTTAATTTTATTCATCTGTAAATTCATCAGCCAGGAAATATTAAGTGGTTAAGCAATGTTCCTGCAGTGGTCAGCTGGGGTAAGAGCACCCGAACGTTTTTACATAATTCTCAGCTTGGTCTTGTGTCAATAAAAAGTAATTGCATGAACTTTTCTTAATTAAAGTTATGACATATTTGGTAGATGACAGCCTTTAAATACTTTTAGATTTTGCAATTATGAAACTTGACCGGTGTGTTGGACTTAATAAAGGTGGAAGCGAAATGCGAGATATCTTTGATTCAGTTAGATAGCCCCAAACTTACTGCCACAAACAATATATTATTCGGTAAATTACGAGTGTACTGTGGTATCGCTCCTTTAAGGCCTACTGCTTGTTCACACATAGCATACGTAAATACTGTCAACCGTTTCACGTCGGCAGGGTGTATGGTGTTAACAACAACGTGTTTACTCCATAATCTTTCTGAGTACGTCTAACGCTTTTGGTATAGCTATATAAACTCGTCAGTCATGTTTCCTGTAAATACTTCAGACCACCACACGTTAAATAATTCTGCATCTGAGTGGCGGGTTTATTTAAAAACCGATCCTGGTGGCTCATTTAAATAGACAAAGTTCCGAATACCTAAGTTAAACGATTGAGAAATTAAGGTTCTTTTGTACTACTACGTAATTTAAACGATGGAGGATTTTGATATGGAAAATTCATGACCATGAGCGAATTATGAGATCCGCAAATTGAGAGTGGATTAATAAAACATCTAGCACCGATTACTGCTGGGTGAAAGTTTATTTACAACTACTTACACCTTAGTGGAGGGTTTCGGTGTGACTCTCTCCCATTCCTGTACTCCAAGACCGACGGTTTCGTCTTTCTTTAAACTCATCTGGTAGAGATAGCTGAGCTGGGAGTGGAACTCGGCGCGGAGCTCAATGGCCTAATGATCATGGCGATAACCGCCAAGCACTATGCGCCGAGCTCCACTCCCAGCTCGGCTATCTCTACCTGATGAGTCTAAACAAAGACGAAACCGTCGGTCGTGGAGTACAGGGATGGGAGAGAACCCCACCGAAACCCTCCACTTCGGCGACCGTCCCAGTGACCGTATTGGCAGAGGCTGACTTCAAAGTCAACCGACGCCACGAGTGAGATTGTGCGTCGTTATCCAAGACACATGGCGGCTGCTCCAAAACCCGAATATCTACTTACACCTTATTTCATCTGAATGTTTGACTCTACCTAGTGCTTTGAATGAAGTGAATCAGAGTACCGAGTTAAGGGTCTTTTAGTAAATCTTGACTTACGCACGTATTTACTTAGTGCGGGTTACTTGCTAAATGTGCCGAGTTGTGCTGAATATTGCTCAAGATGGTAAGTATAACAGCCGCCGTTTACAAGGCGTACTTCGCGGCCCTCCTGCTCATATCTCTGTGTAGTAGGCCTTTATTCGCAAAATCTCTGTAAGGTAAACTGCCTAGGTTGCTTTTATCAATGCTTGTTAATCATACTCGTGTTTCTTTGGTTAACGGGAAGTGGGTCCTACTACGAGGCGCCTATCTCATAGGATTCGCGAACACATTCCGAACTGGTTTCACACAGGCAAAGCTAGGTCTTCGAATAAACTCGTCATGCCGCAACCATTCGAGAATCGTCATACCGGTTCTGAAAACAATTTCAGAAAATTTTATGCAATTTTTGAGAGATTCTCGTGCGGATTCCGTAAAATTCTCCTATCTATTACTGAAGCCACCCATATCGGCCGTTTCAAACTATACTTGCGTGCATAGAAGCAACTCGTACGCCAGTTACTTTCACTGTGACCCACATCGTCCGGTACATGATCACCTGATATTATTTTTACCCTTGTTCACATGTAAGTCCTCAAGAAAATAATGTATATGAATATATATTTGCCTTGCACTTATTCTATCACCTTAAGTGACATAATGCTTCATCGATTCGTCCGTCTAATTTAAAATCCTATTCAGTGTTCCGCTTGACTAGACACAGCTGCAATGTAACCTCAACTATGTAAATGTATACTCCTGACGAGTATTACCTATAAAATACTTGCAAACAGGACTCTGATTCATGTTATTATATAAGAATTTTATGTTTGGTAGAGATTAGCATTCCCCGTGAGTCACCTTCCCCTTCTGCAAACTGTGATAGCGTACTAGCTGGTGGTCTGTGGCAATAACTGTTTTATCATAAAACGAAATGTTTTGGTCTAGTCATTATTGTCGTGTTGTATTTTGTGATGGAATTCCTGGTTCTCTAAATTCCCTTCGTATCCAATTCAGTGCACAGTGGATAAAAGTCAGAATCGCAATCTCACCGATAACATAGCTGATGTTAAGCATAGATAAACCTTTCCTCTCAGATATTTTGCACCAAAACGTTTGTTCATTTCAGTTAACATGTCACATTGTCTTTTTGTATAATCGTTGAATCCTGTATTTTACCACTAATCATCTCCCAACTCCAGCCAACTACGCCGTGATCAAATCCAGAAAAAGGATAGTATATATAGGCACTTCTCTTCAGGGGCTCAAGTTCTGACTAAATCTTCACAAGCGCTATGTTACAACCAAATGGAATTCTTGTAGGTTTCTGCAGCAATTATGTGGGTTAAATTAATTGGGCAGTTAAGGATATTCTACACACTATTATATCATTTGTTATGTGCAGAGTAGACTGCATTTTCAATGCATATTCACTCATAAACTGCCTCATCCATTGACCTATTCCACGAATGGTACACATCAAAAGGAAACGCTTAGAAGATACATCAGGGATCAAAGAAATGGATTCGCAATCATTCAAGGCATTCAAAGCTTTTATTGACTTTTATCTCATTGGCGACCCGAGGAACTGGGAATTGATCTAGTGTGCTGTAAGATCAGTCTGTTCAAACGGCCATAAATGTCGTCTACTTATGCGTGAGGCAATGGATATTTTACCAAAAGCCCAATACATGCTTAGCAACAGGCGCATCAGCACTCCTTCTGGGTGGACATCAAGGTGCCTAGGTTAATGACATTACAATCATACCTCCTTAGATAAACGACCATATAACAACACATTACTCACTTTGGGTCACAGGAATAAAATAAGTAAATTTTGGACTTCTAACCAATTTTGTTTCTAGGGGGATACACACCAACAGGCTAAACTAAGAGCCTAAGTAGAAACTTATGCAGAATCCAAGAGCAGACATTTCAGGGATACCTGCAGAATAACTGATATAAATAAGCAAACAGATCACCCATACTGAAAAAATTAAAAATCGTTCCTAAAAACCATGACTATATATAAATTCTCTGACTGGATTAAAGGAAAAGTAGGACGAGTCAATGAAAGAAGTAGGAGAAGGCAGAAGCTGTTCTTTTGAAAGCCGAAGTGTTAGACAAAGTAGTTTGAAAGGATTTGACGGTGTTCCCACTTTTTGTTAGCATAACTGTTTGTAAGTCAGTGTAAAAGTTTGATGTCGCAAGAAAACCGAATTAGGCTCTCGGTTGAGCGTAGAAGACTAATAGTACAAGCTTTTTATTTAATCGATTTGCAGGCGGCTCCATACTCTGCGTTGATATAGAATACCAAGCCAAAAGGCCTACACACTACCCAAATGGTGGTAATCAATTAGTCAAGTGTGGGTGAGAAACAGCTAGTGTTTTGATAAGCATCCCATGAATTAGTGGTATGCTGGAATTAGAGCGTCTTTGAGAAATAGTGATTAATCGATATTAGGCGATTAGTACCATTAATCTAAGAAAGATTCATCATATTTCAACAAATTTCCTTAGCAATCATTAAAGCTAAGTGCGGAAAGCGATGCGAACCGCACTCTATATACACTGTTTGGACACAAATGGAGAAACAAAAAGTCTTAAGTTCTAGCTTTATTTATATTATGAGGGGTAAACATTCGAATCCAATGACGAATTATAATCGTGCGTGACAAAAACATGCTTACGCAGCATAAAACCGCAAATCGCAATAAATAGTTCTACTATTGGACTGTCAGCGAGTTAGATTTAGCCAGAATGGCTGTTATATCCCTTGTTTGAACTAAGAGGTAAGTGAAATTTAAAACGTTATTTGCATGCACAAATCATGTCAAACTATAGCAAATTTGAAATGTTCCGTCAAATAGTGCATGGGAAGTGAGAATAAAATCCGTCATAATCGCTTTAAGCTTCTTCTAGAAGCCTACATTTGCCAAAGACGGACAAGCTTATTTGCATAATAAATATGCTCATTAACTCCTATTGACATAGCAAATACCAATAATGTGCTTGGGAATGAGGTTCATGTTCTTTGTTTCACTTGCTAATATTTCGGTTTCAACTATTCTTGCGACTATGCACGGAAAGATATCGCTTGTTAATCGATCGATTTGGTGCACTTGAAACGGTTTTAACTGCCGTACTTTGTTCCTGATGAATCAGCACTAGGCTTACCGATGTTTTACACCTATGATCTGTGAAAATCTCCCTTAACCGCCATACCTACTTTAATAGTAGCCAAGCTTACATACCCTAGAATGTGGATTCATAGCAATAGAGAATCAGTGTCGTCGGTATCAGACGGTTCCAGAACAGCACAGTCAAATTGAGTGGAAACGAAGTGAAGTTCATCTGCCGTGGTTAGCAAGCCAATGTTTTCTATTGTTGTACATTGTGGATTAAAAAGCGGTTAATATAGCTTTTT